TTCCGACGTCTGATTTCTTTTTAATTATAGGAAATCCGTTTTTCTAAGGTACATAAACTTTTGGGATTGATCATATAGCCAATACATTCTTAATAACATGCAGGGGTCACGGGATTGAACGATCGAACTGCACCGGGTTTTTATAAGAAAATAAGAAAGAAATGATATAATAGGTTTATAAATACTTAACCTCATTGCAAAAAAACGTATTTAATTATGAAAACAACGTAATTTAGTATATCGTGCAAAGAATTGAACGCAAATTATGTAAGCGAACTTTGTAGGTTAGCAAACTGTAAGTATCCCGAACGTAAACTTCAATTCTTTCACGTTTTCTCACTCATTTTCACTTTCCTCACTTATTAAACATGTCTTAAAGAAAACGTCGTTCATTGTTATCATGTGTTGTAATTAATTCGTAAAACTTACTTTTCAAAATAAATGAGGATCGTCCGATCCGACGACAACACACACTATTACATCACACTGTCATTAGACGTCTAATCTCAAAGAATTTTGTAGTTGCACGTGACGCCATCTAACGTTCACGAACTACGACTTGCATCTCGATTTTGCAGTCAGAATGCCGGCAGGTCTGCCATCAGCCCTTGACGGCAGAATGGCTGCCGGTCTGGCCTGCAGACCTGACATCTATCTGACGGCAGAATGGCTGCCGGTCTGGCCTGCAGACCTGACATCTATCTGACGGCAGAATGGCTGCCGGTCTGCCTGCAGACCTGAGATCCATCTGACGGCAGAATTGCGCCAGGCCTGATATCAGATCTGACAGTAGAATAACAGCAGATTCACGCCATTTCTAATAGCAGAATGACAGCAGATTCATGCCAGACCTAACATCAGACCTGATAGCAGAATGACAGCAGATTCACGCCAGGCTTGATATCAGACGTGACAGTAGAATGACAGCAGATTCACGCCAGGCCTGATATCAGACCAGACAGTAGAAGAACAGCAGATTCCGGCCAGGCCTGATATCAGACCTGGCGTTACTCTGCTACCATACTGGCGGCGGGCTTGGCACCAGCATCTGAAGGCAGATGGCGAGCAGTCTGCAATTATTTTACTGCCAGATTGCCGTCAGATGCTGATGTTAGGGATTGGCGTATTCCGCAGCCAGTCTACCGTTAAATCCTGCAGTAGGACTACCGAAATCCTGCCATTTGCAGGTTTGACTGACTGGGTATATTTATAATCTGCCAACAGCATCAAGTTTATTTATAAAAAATAAATAAGAATACAATAAAAAAGAGTAAATATGTATATATATGTATATATATCTTTACTGTTTGTGTAACGGAGTAGCTCGTGGTATGAACGTTAAGTCTATGATGACAGTAGTGAACTATGTAGTGATTATGTGGTATTTGGTTCTGGATATCGATGACAGTTCTGTGGCATCTATTAAAACCGATGTACTGATAAACAGAAAACCATGAGTGACACAACAAAAATTCATCGGAATTCTTATATAAGCGGTTAAACGAAGGTAAACGAAAGTAGCCAGTTGACCCGCAGCATTTACTTCCGAGATGTGCATCGCACATACACGTACGTATATATACGTATAGATATTTTCCTTTCATTGATAAGCACTTAATCATTTAAATACCCCATTACGTCCGTCCAATCGGACATTTCCTATGACAAACATTAAATCGAGTGTAATTTCTTATCTCGATGACAGTTCTTTAAACAATATTTATTTCCCTCGTCAACGAGTAAATAACATTTAATTAATCGTCGATAGTACGTAGAAATATTTAACACCTGATTGGACGTTTAAAAACGTCGTCGGACAGATCGTAAAATAATTTTTTTAGTCTCGATCGTTTTAGGTTATGTTTACAAACTCCTTTCTAGCTATACGCGTTATTTAACAAATTTAGTAATACAGATATGAAAGATATAGTAATTGTTCGTATATTTACAGGAATGAATCGTAAAATGACTGTTTCTTGATTCTGCAACGAGAGAGGAAGATCATCATCATCATCATGGAGGAGAACGAACTGTACAACGTTACAGTTCCTTCGTTTTCAAAAATCGAAGCAGCGTTTTGGAACTATTCCGATCATGTCATCCTCGACGATCTTAAGATGGACAGTAGTTTTATATATTTACTTTGCTCATTAGTGTCTGCTATTTCATGGATTATCTATATAGCTTATTACAACAGCAGAGTCATCGGTTATATATTAACTAAATTGTTAAACCGGTTTGTTATTAGAGATGGATACGTTAAAGTAGGTGAGTTAATCATACGATTAAATATTAGTAAGCATAATTATAAAAAGGAAACATGGAAGCTATAATTTCTGTTTTCAGGCTCTTTTACTTTAAGTGCACTAAGTGGAAAGATAATGTTCCGAGACATAGTTTACATCACAACGGATTACAGTATCAGAGTTCAGGACGGATGGTTGATATTCAGATGGTGGCGAAGTTACGTTCCCAAAGACGTGTCCGAAGGTGAGAACAGAAATCGATGAAACTACTTACAAATAAAAATCATTTTCTTTATTTTCCAGATCTCTCGCATTCGGACACGCGACTTTCAGTCATGCTGAACGGGTTCGAATTGCATATATACAATCGCTGTCAGATGTATGCACAATTAGAGAAAACGTTCGGTCTGACACCGCAGATGTTCCCCGACGTAGAGAATCACAACGTTAACAGCGACGATCGTGACGCGGAGTCGTTCAGCAATGCCCACGAGACGCGCCAGCAGATAAACGCGATGGACGTCTCGCGTCATGTTGACAACATCAGGAAAAAAGAGGCTCATGTGATAGCTCGAACTTGGAGAGATTTAATCCCTGTTATCAAGCTCGACGTTTCTACAGTAAATATACAATTCTTTTATTCAGAATTCTACGAATTCTTTTTATGTTTGAAACTTTTCAGGGGAGGCTGGTGTTCGGTAATCGGTTGATCCCGACGACTCTATCGATCACCGTTGAGGAGGCTCATTTCGTATATTCCACGAAGCCAGCCGCGTCCCGATACGATCACTTCATGCATTTCACAAAATGTAAAGCAGAGAATTTCAAAGTCATCTTAGCTCCTAGTCCGAAATACACAGGAATGGTGGACGATCCTCCAAGATACATGGGCGAAGGGTTCGTCGTGTTAAGCTCGAACAATATGGAGGTTTATTATTACATGGACGAGCCCGGGTTCGTTCCTGAACACCCGCAGATGATTCAATTAGTAAACGGAGACATGGTCGAGGCTATGCCTCCGATTTGGGGCATCGATATCAAATGCGGCAAGGGGACTGATTTCAGTTACGGCCCTTGGGCCGATAGACAAAGAGAACATTTATTTAAATTCTTCTTCCCCAACGATTACCAACCGCTGAAGGTGACCAAGACTCCTGTGACCGGAGAGAAGCGACAGGTTCAGTCGTTCGACATCCGATTATCAACGTTGAACGAAGCTACGATCGATATACTGTTCAGTAAAAATCGGGAAACGAACGCGGTGCACATCAACGTGGGCCCCGGCTCGTATTTAGAGATCACAATGCCGTGGATTGTTTTACAAGACGGTTACACTACGAAGATAACTGGGCAATTGTTACATCTAGAAGCGACCACCAGCTTGCAGTACCGGAGCCTGGTCGAGAGCGAGACGTTAGAATTCAGCGTTAAATGTCACTACCCGATTAGATGGAACGATCATCAAGAGTGGAAATTAAATCTGACCGGGTGCAAGGCTACCGCAAACTTAGTCTATTCGCACAAAGAGTTTTTTCAAGACATGATCAACGACTGGGCGAGCAAAGCCAGACCGGACATTCTACATTTTGTACCTTATACCTGGAAGTTTAATTTAGTATTAAAAGAGTTCGAACTGATCACGCTGTGCAACGAGTACAATTGGATCGACTGTTCGTCGCAGAATCAAGAGAACGCGCACATCGCCTTTTGCGGGGAGTCGTTTGAATTATCGTTCGACTTGCCGTTCGTCGACTTCCTGCCGATCACGATACCGTTACGTTTTTGGATACAAGGCGAGAGCGTCGATCTGTCGTTTTATCTACCCGAAGTCAATACGAGTCGTACAATTCTCTTAGCTCTGAGTAAAAACGCAAAGATAATGACGCGCGACGGTTCGCACGTCTATCTGTCGGATTTGAACAAGAGTAAAAAGTGGAGGAACGTTTGTCAAAAGGGCGCGGGATGGGTCGACTGTTGGTCGGTGCCGATCGTCGCTCTCAGCATAAATTATACATATCATCCGTGTCCTCCTTTGGGACCTACGCCGCAAGCGAATATAACCACGCCGGAGAAAGAAGAGATTCTATTATCACCGATGAGGATCCCTCGTTGCCGTAAATCGCCGGGTATTCAATGGACGAGGAACGGTAGTCAGAAGTTCGACCCGCAGTCCTTGGCGCCGGACAAAGTTAGCTTAGACCTCGAGATAGGACCGTCTATATTGATTTTATACGGATCACTTTTGAAAAATTTTATACACTTAAAAGAGAACTTGTTCGGCGATTACCAAACGTTCACAGACATAGAGCAGAGCCGGACGAATCCCACGTCGATAAGCACGGAGAGGAGTAAAGACAGAGACGTGCAGAACAGTAGCGTTGAATCTGTGGAAGACGAGGATGCAAAATCGAAACCGTTCGACCCGAGGGACTACCGGCCTTTGGAGGTATCGGTCGGGATTACTATGCACGATATTCAAGCTCATTTAGTAAAGAACTGCGGGGAAAACGATCCCCCTTGTCCTGTAATTCTCCTCGAACGATTCGGATTTGAAATGAAGAAAGGATACAAAGAAACTGAGCTGCAACTGCTTTTATCACCAGCCATCGCGTTGATTACTGACAACGTCGCTCGTTCGAGTAAAGAACGTCATTTAAATCAAGGGCATTTGATGCTGAGTGCGTTACAAGTCCGCGGACACGCGATGTTCAGTAATGAAGGCAGGAGTTTAGATCAAGAGACTTTGGAATACGCATGGCTGATTGAAATACAGTTAGGAAAACTAAGCGGGAAATTGACCACACCTCAGCTGCATCATCTTGTTATATCTTTAGAAACTTTTCTGTTGATGGTTAAGAATAATGAGAACAGTTTGCGACCTCCGGATTTACCGCATCATTGTCATCATGGTATTCCACCTTTGCAGTGCCCCGACAGCGACGTTGATAAACATTACAGGTATCTAAATAATATTAATTGATTAATTATGGGATTTAAATGTTTACATATTTGTTGGTTTATTGTTGCAGGTGTCCTAGCTCGGAGGATATTAAATACAGAATGACCAGGGTCGCGATAGATGCGATCGATTTGTATTTTCAAGAACTCGGCACTACTATTCACATTTGGATATCTCCGATTCGCGCGTCTACGTGTAACCTTCACGGTCAACAAGTGAAATCTGGCGTGACTGGTGTGCTACCGAGGATACTGATAAGACAGTTCGTCTCGGCAGCTGATTATTTTGCAAATACGAGTAATACGAACACGGCTGGCAGCGGGAGATCGCATAATAACGCGAGCAGTCGGATATCAGGTAAAATATTAAAGAATATATTTAATCGAGACTCGGAAAGTGGGGTTAGTGTCAACCTTAGTCGAACGCGGGAGTTTCTCAGCACGCGATTGGCTGTTCACATTTCCAGGTGGCTCAAGCGCCAATCGCGTGCGATGCGGGAGAGGTAGCACGCGATTGGATGTTCACGATCCCAGGTGACTCAAGCGCCAATCGCGTGCGATGCGGGAGAGGTAGTACGCGATTGGCTGTTCACGTTCCTAGGTGGCTCAAGCGCCAATCGCGTGCGATGCGGGAGAGGTAGCACGCGATTGGCTGTTCATGTTCCTAGGTGGCTCAAGCGCCAATCGCGTGCGAAGCGGGAGAGGTAGCACGCGATTGGCTGTTCGAGTTCCCGCGTGTCCAAAACGGCAGACATGATTGGTACTACAATCTTTATCGTAATAATTTTTTATTACTTTCGTATAAATGATATTTAATTACGCCATATTCTTAATTGTAAACGACAAGAAGATGATTTTATTACTATTTTATGATTTTATAAATTATCACATTAATAATATAAAAGTGGTAAAAATGCTATTGGCGCTTGAATCACGTAGGAACGTGAACAGCCAATCGCGTGCGAAGTGGGAGAGGTAGCACAAATGGACGAAATTCGACTGAAAAATAACGTATTTTCACAGTGAAATTACTTTGCAATGATTAACTTCTGTGCTTTTCACGTCAAGAAACAAGAGATCGATCATAATTTAGTGTTTTTCTTAATTCGCAAGTTACTTTGGGCGACGGATCTGATATATGGCTGGAAGTGGGTTCGGTGGGTTTAGGCCCGGTGATTCTAGAAGCCGCGATTTCGCTCCCGACGCCTGAACACAATTTACATTTAGTACAAAACAAATACCTGAAACTACACGACGAATCGACGAAACGTTTATGGTTCTTATGGCCACGAGAAAGCGGCGTGAAGGCTACGAAATGCGGTTGCATCGGAGGCTGCGCGTTCTTTGGAAACAATCGCAACGGGCCAAGATTCTTTAAACCGAATTACCAAGACTTCCAAGATGGAATTAACGTGGCCGCTTATAGGTAATAATTTGTAAGGTTAAGAATTGAAATAGTTAAGAATATCGATCTATTTTTATATGATTTTAGGATTAATGAATCTGGGAAGGAGAAAGGATTTGGACAGTCGATTTTGCACGACGGCCAGCTGGTTTTCCACACGTCGCCGTATAATCTTCAGGACGTTTCACTACAGGAACACCCGGTGGCGGGTGTGAAATTAACACAAGATGCACCGCAGACGTCGAAAAAGGGCGTCGAACGGCCAAGGTCTGTGACAGATCATAGTAAAGAGTCCAATATTGAAGGAACTAGTAGTACGAAATTAATTACTGCGACTGCAAGTCCATTCGCGTGCAGTGGGGACCGGAAACTGCTGGACAGAAGATTTTCTTATACGTCGATGCGGTAATTCTTGGACCAGCTTTGACGCCGCTTATTTCAAGCATTGCATGAATTACTAAATTGCAATTATAATGCTGTCTGAATGTCTGTCGGTGTAATTTTCATTTAGCGCATATCTTACGTTTCAGTCGGTTCTGTCTCCACGACAATTTGCTTAATTAAAAGCTTAATAATCTTGTTTATTTTAAATACGCTGTGTTCCATGGCAATAGAAAACCGAGAGAATCGACGTACATATTTTTACTTATCATTAATCTTACATATTTTAATTCCAGTGGCAGTTGTACGAAAGACGTTCCTTATTCTCGATTAGTCGACGCGAGTCCAGTCGCACAATTGCCGCAGAAATTGGACTCCGATTCAAAGCTGCACACAGAACGCAGTAAATCCATCTTAAGCGTCCCTGAAATCGAAGCCGCGCCGAAGAGCAGCGTGTCGGATTCGAAGTTAGCAGTGGACTACTTCAACGCGAACGAAGAACCGTTCGAATCGAACAGCCCTCAGTCGTTGCCGATAGTTTCTTCAGAACTGAAATTCTCTGATTCTATGCAAACTAGTACTAAAACTGTTAACATGTCCGATTCTCGTCATTCATTGTACATGAAATCTGAATCCGACGAGAAATTGAAACAAGAGGTAACGTTAAATTTATTATTAACAATAATTGAAACATTTTTATATGAAATGTTCACGTTTCAGGTTCAGAGGACGATATCTATGTCTTCTGAGAATCATTCAGAGGCGTTTTACTCAGCAGATGAAGATACAAGCCATGGATTAAGCGGAAGTCGGACGTCGAGTCTACGTCAGTCGATCGTCGGCTCCGGTTCTGTGTTGAACCGCAACGATAGTATGAAAAAGAAGTTCTCCTCGGATTTGTCCATCGTAGAGAGTTCGACGAACGTAAATGCCAGCGTGCCGGAGAAGGCGCATACTTTAGAGAGAGCGAAACCGCAGACGATGAGCACGAAACGTAGTCCGAGGATAAATCGGAACGTGCATAGCGACGAGGCGAACGATGCGAATGGCGTCTTACGAGATTCCTCTGATAGTCATTCTGTATCCTCGACTAGCTTTATATCAGCCGTGTCCTCGCAGGAGGACGTCACTCTCGTTAATTTGCACATGCAAGTGAACAAACCGATCGTAGATTCGCCGCTACTCATGTCGAGTTACGTTAGCCATTTGACTCAGGTATCAGAAATGTGAATACCGAATTTTCAGAACGATGGAATAAATCATACCTGTTTGTATTAATATTATCTACGATTTTCAGGTACGTTGCACGAACTGGAGCCAGTCGTCGATTCCTGCTGGAGGCGCCGCGTTCACTACGCCTCTTTTTCAACGTTCTGAGGATGGTAGATTAGTCTACGTCGGTGGGAGGTACGTACCGAAGTTGGAAACCGTTATGGAAGGTTTCACGTCGTTGAAAATGATCACCAAGTCTGATGGCTCGCCTGTGGCTAACTCTTCTAATAAAACACCGACGCATCCATACCTCTGGGACAGTTCGACTATCAATCATATGGAAGGTGATTATTAATAACAGAAATGATTCTTTTAATCATTAAATAAACGTTTAATTATAACATTTAATTATTTATAGGCGAAGAAGATCACACGGATAGTAATAAGGAGGAGTTATTAACCGTGCAACATGAAAGTGGCTCGCGTACTACAGTCATTGTAAAGTTCAAAGGAGACGTGGATGTAATGTTAAGCCCTATGGTTTTAGAATCTCTGCAACGTTTCATCGATTCTATTATACCAACGTTAGCGACTTTGCATCCACTCACGATTCTAAATCATCTGCATCATGAATGCATTGGGAAAGTCGAGGACGCTAATATTTTGAAACAGGATCAGAGTTTGTCCTATTGGGGTCAAGTACAGACAAGTTCGAAACGATCTACAGCTGAGAGGAATATTAAAAATGGTCAAGGTGACGATAAACGTCAGTTCTTTTTACAATAAATCGGTTCTCGTCAACCCTTTGAGTCACGAATGTTTCCGGAGGTTCGTTTAGACTCAAAGGGTTGATTAATATTCGTTTTAATGTTCGTTTTTCTTAACAGGTAAAATCGCTTTGCAAACGAACGTGTACGAGGAGAGTATTATGACTCAAGTTCAAGGTAGCATAATTTTACCAAAGGTAATTAATTAATTATAATAATTATACTTAATTCTAGTTCGTATTATAACTAAATTACGTTTAATTTCAGATGAACATTACTTTATTACAAGCTTCAGTTGTTGAAGAAATTATATCCTTCTCTGCCCTTGAGAATATACGTGATTTAACATGTGTGTCTTTGTTCGCCGTCTGTTTCGACGACGTGACCGCGCGATTTTATATCGGGAAGAAAGCAAGAGAGATAGTGCAAACGTTTCACAAGCCAGCTGTCTTACCGAACCAGAAGAAAGTGAATAAAATCAGCAGAGCGTTTTTACCCGGACATCAAACTGCCGCTGTGGTCGCAGACATCGGAAGCGGAGAGACTGTGTACATAGAAACATCCGAAAAACAGCAAGAAGAAATTATAGTCACATTAAACATAGGCAAAGCTCATTCACAATTACGCAGACTTCGGAACGAATCGTCGATATTAAAAGACGCTGTAATAACAGCGATTCCTGCTCACTATTCAAGAGTATTATTCGCCTGTACGAGAATCACTTCTCCACTAAAAGATTACTACGCGCATCAATTCGATGATAAAGAAAAAACCGTACGTCTTTTCATTACTTATTATTATTTTTTGATTATTATATTTATATTTAATTGCAGAAACCTTCTGGCTCGCCGCAAGCAACGGAAGAGTTCACGTCTGGCAGTGGAGAGGATAGACTAGGTTTCATAATGTACGAATGCGGTTTAGAGGGTATTAAATTAAAAATAGTGAAGAGGTCTCAGTTTGAAAAAGGAGAAAACGGGAACGATGATAAGAAAGTGGAATCGGAAATGTTTTATACAGACAGCGTGAAGAGCCAAGAAGAATTAGACGCTAGTAAGAAATCTAGTAAATTTCACAATGAATGTTTCTATTTTTTGAACTATAATTTTAATACATAAATAAATGTTTCTTTATATAATAACGAGTTATGTTTTAGCTTCTGCGGCGACGGCGGAGCCGGAGACGGCGCCGACGAACGGAGCTCAGATAAACACAAGCGCAACGTGCGGCAGCCTTGCTTCAAAAGCCGGGAACGGAAACACGGTTTCTTGTATCATAGAATTGAAGACGGTGTGGTTTAACTTCGCAGCGCCTCCCCGAACGCCGATAACACGGAAGATTGATTACACTCGTTTAGATTGGAACTTATTAAGCACCGCGTCGCCGGCTATAAACGCGTGGATGAACCCCAGCAATAAATTCGCTATTCGAATCGTGCATATGTTCCGAACTATGTACAGAAGGTCAACTGCGGTCGTTGCTTGCCTCATGGCAGAAGCCATCGACGTTCAAGCAACTCACATGCCAACTAAGGTATTTAAAATTCTGTATTAACATAAATTTTGTATAATGCCAAGGTTTTGTTTTATAGAGTCGTTATGGGAGATTGACTCCGTTGGCGAAAACTCTGCAAGAAGACCCCTCGTGCCAGTTGTGTACTATTCTACAAAATTATGTCCTGTTAAACGATTTAAAGAGCATCGAAGTTAACTTGAAGGAGTCAGATTTACCTTTACTATCAACGCTGCGACAGGTAAATTGATTTTAATTTAATTAAAACGTTTTATGAATATTATTAATTGTTTGTATCGATTAGGGCGTGATAGTGTTGAGCAGGCAGTGGAAGAACGTCCTTTACACGCCGTTACTATTGGAACATAATTACAAAACGAAGCATGTTAAACCATTGAACGTGACGTTCGCGGTTTCAGACCCGGACGAGGTATGAACATCGTTTTTTTTATTAATTACGTTAAAATTCGGGAATGGTTTATTTTCTAACATTATTCTTCTAATCTTGTCTCTCATCCAATGAATTTTATGGTCGTTCCTCGAACCGGAGAAGCTTTTAATTTCGTTCAGAAGTTAATAGGAACGTAATTTGGTAGAGGACATTTTTTTTTCAGCGAATAAGCAACGGTGTACCGGAGGATAGCTATGTAAAATTCAGTAAGCTGTTTTCTAAATTAATTATTCACAGTAGCCTTGTTTAGCTTTAACACGGTACATCTGTTGACTATCTTTTTTTACGACGGTCTGTCCAATTGACTAACTATTAACTATCTGTCCTAATATAGTTATACGCTATCGTTCTAATGCATATATGATTTCATTAACAGGAGTTTACGTGTTTATAATTTATGTTCAGCTTTTAAATAAGATATTTTGCAAAAATTTGTTAAAAACCATAAGCGGTGGAGGCCCTCCAGTGCTTATGCTTTATAATCGGACTTCCTGTGAAATTCAAAACTTCTGAAACGAAAACAATCATTAATAAAACGTGACGGATTTTTTTTCTACAAATTCCGATTTGGCTTGTTGATGTCGCAGGAAAATTTGCTGACCGACGGTGAAGGTAGCGCGGGAGAAGTTGATGATCAGGAAGTCACTGACGAATGTGCTATGTTAATTCACACAGATCACATGCACAAGCATACACACGCGAAGAGCGGTCAAGACAAAAGTACAGGTATTATAGAAATATTTAAAGCAACCTTGTTTCGCATTAATTTATGAGAGGATACCTGGTACGAAGTCTTATTTATTTTTTTTTTTAATACAGATATTATAACTATACTAAATTTCGTTTATCGTCGACAGTTTAATACACCCGCAGCTTTTAGCATCTGCTTTGAATTTTGAATAATCGCTTACTTCGCTTCCTCGAGCACATATTAATTACAGTATGTGCCTCTAGTCCTAGTCGAGTAATTAGCATCGAATTTTGTCCGCGTTTATTAAATAAATGCATTTTGTAAATAACTTAGAAGGTGAGCCCCCTGAAATTCTATGATTCTGTGGGACACCTTCTGTTGAAAATTGCTTTTTTTTTAAATAATTATTCTAACTATATGCTTGTTGAACGAGAATCATCGCTTGTAATGGAATGAGCAGGTATTTATGGTGACGGTTTGACGGTTCCTGTAAGCTCTCCCCGTGGAAAAGACACGACTCCTATAGCAACACCGGTTCCAGGTCCGGATTCATTAACTTCCCCCTCTCCGCCAGTAGTACGTGTTAAGAAAGGAAAATCACTACAACCCACGCAAATGCCTGCTAGTACACGAGCGAGTATTGTTTTTCCATTGCTTGCAAGCGGTGGGTTGTTCAGTCAGACCCGGGAACCGAATAACATAAGTAAGTGCAACGTGATCGAACTCCTCAATCCCAGTCTACACACTAGCATCAAACTATTAATAAAAAATAACTGATAGATTAATAATAAGAATGATAAATAAATATCCTAGTGTGTAGACTACTATTCATTAACCCTTTCTGTAGTTCCTGTTGCTTTGCACTTAAATTACAGCATCAGCCCTGTGTTTCTCACATCTATCGCTTCTTTACTCATCGTACCGCTTTTGTATGTAACATACGTGTTATTAAGTTCGCCGATTTTGTTAATTTAACAGAACATCACGCTTCATTTCTTCAGTTAATATTTTGATAGATTAAATAAGATAAAATCGATTGTACAAGTAGAATTTCGTGGCAGGTTACGGGACGTTGCGAGAAGAGAAGACACCACAGATTCACATTTCCCATTCACATCAACTCGGTTCGAATCCGAGTATTTATTCTGGAGGTGGACATAGTCAGCATAGTACTGGGAGCTTGGATCAAGTCATGTCACCGACGAGCCATCATTCTAATAAACCTTTGAACACTGGAGAGGATTTATACAGCTGGATGGCTAAACAGCAAGAGTTTATCAAAGACAATGATAAGAGCAATTTAAAAGGGAATTGGGTAAGCAGTTTTTAAATATCTAATATTTATTATTTAAAGATTTTATATCAATTTCGTCGTCTCAGGTCTTTCATACCGAGCAAAAGTCTTTGAAGGTACTTGAAATTCAACATAAAATTAAAATAACATTTTATGTTTCTGTTAAACTTTCTTATATATTAACAAAGTTTTATTCTTTTAGGATTCTAAGATTAATACTATGACGACAGACGACACGGAAGACTCTGACGTTCAGAGTGGCACTCTTTTATATCCAATGAAAGATTCCCTCAGACTTCTGGACGCGCATTTAATTTTCGAACCGCTCCTCTCTTCACTGTCTGTCATGCCACAGCAAATGTTGTCTGCCATCGGTTCAGGAAATACAAACAACGTATCGTCATTAGATTCGTTAGGATCGAACTTGTCTTTAGTAGGAAATATGGAAACTATGCGAATCGACATAGTCGTCAGTGAATTTGGCAAAGTGACTGACAAGAGGAAAGGTATGTTAAAATAATCTAAACAATTAATTTATTAACATGAACATTGAAAATGTATTTACAAATGTTCGTTTAGGTAATAAGTATCAAACGAAGAAGGGAAATTCTAAATTTCATTTAGATATTCCGCCGGAAACGCCTGCGTTTCTATGCGAGAAGATCGGCATTGATATCGACGTTAAGAAAATGGCTGATATGACAGTAGACGATATGATACAAAAGCAAACGGTGCTGTACATATCCCGGGGCCAATTGAAGAAGCACACTAGTACATCCGTGAACTTTAGTTTGAACATACGGTACATTAGCCAGCAAGTAAACATGCCTCTTCTCCGATTGTTACATCAGATAAGTAATATGTATCAAAACGTTAAGGAGACGCAAATGGAGCTGAAAGAACAGCAACCGGAACGAAAACGAAACAATCATTTGATCGTAAACGATCCTGTAGCGAAGAACGGCTCGTCATCAAGTAAATATTTAATTAAAATTAGCTGTGCACGTCGTTTGCTGCTTGAATACAATTTATTTTTGCTTTCTCGCCTAGCGTCAGATTTACAAGAGCAACTTTTAATAGAAGGCAAGAAGATGGACGTGCCGCTGCTGCGCAACAGTTTCGAGCCAAACCTCGCAAAAACCGCACCAGCCGCTGGTGCCACTGTCCGTTCCCGGCCGCAGAGCTTCGCTCAAAAACTCCGCAGTACTGGAAAGAGCGTCAAAGGGTACATCAATCTCAGCGAGGGTGTGATAACTCCGAATTTCGGTGCCAGTCCAAACGGATCTGGATTGGATAAATTCTGCATACTTCCTGATAAAATAAAAGACGCGACTCATTTAACTCCCCGCTGCTGGAAGACGATTTATTATTTATTGGATTTGTATGCTACTCGACCGGAAACGAAGACTATCACTCATCGTTTTTCGATACCAGCTGATGCCTCGGAGCATTACAAAAGCGGACGGAAATACGAATTGCTGAACGAAACGAAGGACGCGGATATTGAAAAAGGAATGAATGCTGAAAATAGTTCAACTCCTGTGCCTCTTCCTCGGGAATTAAGTAAATATTCAATTCTTTTTTGCTGTCGTTAACCATTATTCAAGTTATTGTAATAATAAAACATCGTTTTAGGTATTGTGACTGGAGAAAGGACGAGATTAGTAATATTTGGAGTTGCAAGGATACACAGGACAAGATTACTAGCCACTCTGAGTGGTTTGAAACTCGAGGCTGAAATAACGAGTCTTCACTCGAGTATTACTTGTCGTAAAAAATCGAGACCAGCCAGTTTGGAGTGTAGTTTAACTGGTCAAATCGGTAGAACGATGATCGTTTTATTAGAAGGCGTCGCACCTAATCAACAAACGGTTGTTAAAGTAACTGTAGGAAAATCGCAAGCTTTGTACTCGAGTATCAGTAGACGACAGAAGGATAAGAACAGCGGGTTGCTGACTGTCGGCGCAGTGAACATCGACATCCCTCAGCACCCCGTGGCTTTGCACGGAATGATGACCAGAGGCAGTAAACAATTATCGTCAACCTTGCAAGTAAGTTAAATAACAATTCTTATTAATTCATCCTCCTAAATGAGAATCTTTTTGTAGGAACTGCGAGTGACGAGGACGTCTTCGAGGATGTCCAGAGGCCAGCAACAGGACGAAGTGGACGCTGCTGTGCCTGGCAGTCCTCATCACTACGCCCCAGCTCCCTCAGTCGATTTAGAAAAACCACCTGCAGTCTCTGGATTATTAGAACCGATCGTTATGCAATTTAATATAATAGTTCAAAGCTTGAGCATAACAGCTGCTCTGTTACCGTCTTTACAAGCTCAATATAAAATGGATCAAGTCACAAGCTCTGGTATAACTGGTAGCAAAGCGAAATTCACGATCGACTTACCTCATCACAGTCTGAGTTTCACGACGAAGCTCCAAGTAACCGAAGCGAATCTGCCTTCTGAAGCTAGCATCGCTCTTCCAAAAGTTCACGTGTCTGCGGAGTACATTCAGGATGGTAACAATAATATAAACGACAGCAAGCTTGCAGGTGCGG